TGTGATTCTGTGATTCTGTGATTCTAAGACTAGTTTCACGTTATACAACAGAAATGTTCGCAACTTAAATATAAGCAACTGCATTTGTCTCTCCAATCTAACAATTTCACTTCGAGAATTGCAGGAACTTCTCGATACCATCCTGAAAATACATCACCTCAAAAAGTAACAGCAGCTAAAACAGTAAAAATTTTATAACTATTAACAAAGAAACGTATTGTTTTTCTGTTGAACACAGGACTAATGAAAAATAAACTTCAGGAACAGTAAGCAAAAAGCAAATCTTTCAGTACGTTCCTCCTCCTTCTTTACTGGCAGGATTCCAACGGTACAGAGGCATACAGAGATCAGGAGGCTTTGGGGGAGCACAGTCGAAACATGACAAATAAGCTGTGTGTTTTGCTGCTTGAGAGGTAGTTACCAGTGCAGGGTTAGTAGCTTTAAAAATGTAAAAAAAACCACAACATTAATTCAGCTCCTTTTCTAACAAACGGATTGGCCCAGTTCAGTGGGCCCTTAAGAAACACTCGTCTGATGTCACACGCAGACTTTACGAAGAGTTTCCAGAGCACCCCAAAATGCCAGAAATCAATGTTTTCTCCGGGGTACAAACGCCTCAGGGTCTGACTGAAAATTTTGAACTCGCCAACGGTTCCTTCTACTGACTGGTGAGGGAGCTGATGATCTGACAAATCGACCCAGAGTGGGGTAAATCAGTCCGCCCCGGTCGGTGCAACGGCTGGGAGATCGCTGCAGGGCTGGGAGCCGGCACGTGGCCGTCGAACTCGGATGTCTCTGCAGAAGGGTGCTGTGTCCTACGTGTGTACTCTGCCTCCGGATTTCTGACACGCAGTGACAATTCTCCTTGTGTAACTTGGATGCTATTCATCAGAATAGTTAAAGGTAGCGTGTCAGTGGGCGATAAAAGGTGATCGGAGACTCTTTGTGGTGGCAGCGAGCAGCAGGTGGCATCGCAGAATCCAGCTGTAACTTTCTGAGCCAGTCCCATGAGACTCCTAGTATTGCAGGGGCCAATATTTTTTCCAGAGAAAATAATTTCTTTTATAAAATGCCGTGCTTCGAACTCAGAATGTTTGCATTTTCTCCCTACATCATTGCAATATTTTAAAGTCATTTTCCAGCGATTCAGTTTGGAGGGTACATTTGTCTTTTGCCTTTTTCCTTTAAGAAATTCCTGCCTTCCGTTTCAATCTTCATTTTCTAAAGTGTGGGAACATTCCATGAAACCAAATACTGAGAGAAAAGAATAAATATATGGCCCTTGCAGTGCCTTATGGAAGACGCTTTTTTCTTGCAAAAATAAACATTTCCCATTTCTGAGCAGCTGTCCTCAGCAGCCCGACAGCCTCCAGGGATGTCCATGGGAGTCACCTGCGCAGATGAATTTGCAGACTTACCGTCGCAGGGGCCCATACGCCCCAAGCTGGTAGGACATAAGAAAGGAGAGCCAGCAGCTGAGCGCGGGGCGGACCGGTGTCCCACTGGCACTCCATCTACGCGCCACATTCTGCTGGGGTGTGAGGAGGAACTCTGCTCCTCCAAAATCATCCCGAACACTCGGAGCAAACGCTCAGCTAGTCTATTGGTGGTCCAGCAGCAGCCCTCCCTTGCTGAAGCGTGAAGCTGAGGTGGTG